TTCAAACACACTGGAAGTTCAAACTTCTTATGGCCATAACATTGCCATGTTTAAATTCAATTATCGCTAGTCCCAACGTGCGTCCGTCGCTTTTCGTTTCTGGAGCAGAACTCGGAAACCACAAGGGATAACTTTATAAAACTTGATACACACATTTACCATATGGTGTAGATATGCCTTTTTGTGACTTATGACTCCTCCAAAGTTACATTTTGTTTTATGTGAATTTTATAAATTTTGACCTCTTCCCTGAACTGATATACACTGAACCGCAAACGAAACGTCACCATGGATAGATATATGAGAAACCTTATTTCTCAAATCACGATAAACATACTTTGAGACATATCAAAAAGATGAAACTTGGCAAAACTGATCATCAAGGTTGAACTTAAAGTGTCAATTGCTCTTAAAGTGAAACACAACACTTGTCTATGAGAACATAGCATCACAAGTCAGTATCTCCTGTGTCCGCCATGTGCATTGATGACTGCCGTGCAGCGTCGATATATGGAATGGATAAGGCGGTTGATGAAGGCCATAGGCACTTGATCCCACACTCTGAGGAACGCCTGACGCAGTTCTGCGCAGTTGTCGGCCTTGGTCGGACGTCATTCAGCCGTCTTTGAATCTCATCCCACAGGTGCTCAATGGGAATTAAATAGGGACTAAGGGCAGGCCACAGCATGGTTCTGATGCCATTCTGCTGGAGGAAGTCTCCTGTTGCTCTCGCGGTGTTGGGCACTCTCTCTCTCTCTCTCTCTCTCTCTCTCTCTCTCTCTCTCTCTCTCTCTGCCATCTGCTGTTGAGATACAGTAACGGCTCTCGTCTAAGAAGGGGACTCTTCTCCACTGCTGGTGGCGCCAATGCTGGTGCTGTGTTGCCCACTGAAGAACCGGTCCCGGTGATGACGTGCTGTCAGAATGGGTCCTCGGTGTGGCCTGCTGTCGCACAATCTGACGATCTTGACGTCGGGTGGTGACCCTTGGTCTTCGACATCTGTAGTGTTAGTGGTCTGGTACCGTTTCTGGAGCCTGTATATGGTCCTTACGTGGACTTGAAATGCATTGGCTACTTGCTGGGGGGTTTGTCCAGTTTGCAATCGTCCAAGGGCTTGGTGTCGCTGATTTCTTGTCAATCTTGGCATGTTGTAGCAATTCAATAACAAATGAATGTTATCCGATCTGGGTGGATTTATATAGGGCAAGAAATGGGGTAACGCATGTGCATTTCAATTCGCACTGTACTCACGTGCATCGGGTTACCATGGCCGTTGCGGTGATGCGTTTGGGCGATCGGTTTTATTGTCATCTGCTTTGATGTTTTTTTGTCGTCAATTTTTTCCGGACAAAGTAATGTTAATTTTTTAAAATTTGACAAAAATGACCCAGATATTTAAATGACAACCTTTCATGCATTGTGACGTTTCTTTTGCGGTTCAGTATATTTATAAACCTTATGAATTGTTTGATACTTTAGGCATTACTTACTTGAGAACAGTAAATACAGAATGTGGTATCCATAAATTATCTCTACTGTGTTAATGAAGCTTAGTACACACATTCACCATTAATAGCGCAGATTTATGATTCCTTATGATTTTTCTTCACTTTCATATATATATATATATAATATATATAAAAGTGGCCTGAACTGACTTAACTGAATGAAAGCAGCGGGTTTCATTTCCAGAGCTGAACAGGAAAACTATTTGAGAGATATTTTCAAAAGACTTTGTAAACACATTCACCATATAGTGAAGATGTGCATTTTGCTATTTATCATTCCCCCATTCATGTTTTGATGTAACTTTTATAAATTGAGACTTGAATTGAATGGAAGGAATCTTAACAATTTTACCTCAATTGTATTTGTGTACGTATCCACGAAGCTTTGTACAATATTCAAGGCCATTACAGATTCTTAGTTCTTAAATATTTGAAAACAATGTTTTATTTTCTTATTTCAATTAAATGGCACACCAGTAGACACTGCAACAAACCAAGATATAAAATGATTCACAGTATATGTATTAAAAAATTCACCAGGTTTTGAGGACACAACCTTTGTACCTTATCTGTACCGGGTACATTAATCTGGTACCTACATGTACCAACAACATTAGGGCTGCATCAATACCTGCCTGTACATAATGCTCTACAATACAATTGTGAATTGTGCAGAGCTCAAAGATACAAACTATTCTTTGCCTTCACATACTAGAAGATGATTATAACCTTTGTTTATCACTTCAGTCATACCAAAGCAGATATCTGTACAAAGTTTTATGGAGATGTTATACAGTAGCATTTGTATTTAACCTCTTCCACAGGCAGGTGGACAAACTGATAACATACAGTGTCACATTTCATTTCACGTGTCATTGTCTTTAAGATTGGATAATGGGCGGGGATATAGATTACTTCGTCGTCTTGTTAAATTTGGTGTGAACCTTGTTAATAGTGGGACTCAACCAGACGCATATTTAGTCTTTTTATAGCCATATTTGTTATTTTGACCGTGTTTTTGCCTTACATTGGAATTATTCTCCTAAATTCTTTGTACTGTAAACATCCCCCAGGAGACCAATGATGCCGAAACGTCACATTCTTCCCACCAGTGGTAACACCTACATTTGGACAAGACGTCATTATCTAACCTTAAAAATAGCCACCACAATAGCCATATTGAAATCAAAAAGTACTTATTTGTATAGAATGTAATGTCATTTGGTATTCGTTTAGTTTGTTGTGTTGTGCAACTCATATGTTGCGGTATATTAGTGATTGTTTAAAATATTTACCTCTTAAACCATGCTCACTATATGTACCAACAAAACCTATTTACAGCTCCAGAAAGGCCTTAATTCCTCGAAGCTTGTAGGGGTTTCTCGAAATGTATACTAACGTGGACAAATTCATCGAAGCATTTCGTTCAAGAATATCATCAGTTTATTACTCACACATACAAACTTCGATCTTACTTACTTGTAATTGTGTATTCTGAGATATCTACAAAAGTATGGTAGGCTTATAACAAATATTGATTTCACTTCAAACAAAGCAAATCTAACATTCAAGATAATATTACTGCAGAAGAATATTCATATGTATTGTAATATATTGTATTTCCTGTGAGCAGCTTACAGGTCTCCAAACTATGATAGGACTTACTGCTGCCTCTGAAACAGGTGGCTATAGAGAAACAAAACATTAGTGCCGTAGGCCACAGGTAGCATTAACACAGTAATAGCAATCGACCTGTACATGATACATTTATGACTTGTCACGCCAATGATTGACAGCATGGACTACGGACAACGCCACCAGGACGTTCTTACAAAATATTGATGGAATATGCGTTCAACAATAAACGAACAAGGCATCTATTCATTAAAATGCTGCACCGACATTCCACACATTAATGCCACAATGGCAACTTTATACGTATATTATTATATGCTACATTGTCCTTCGACAGTGTAATGATGCTGCAACGAACTTCTATATCTGCAACGCTATTTCATTGTGACGTCTGCACCTGCCATTGCTGGCACGAGAAAGGTGATCAACGGCATCCAACCGGTAGATTTCCAAGACAGCTAAAAGTGTGGGAGAATGGGATGTTAGGACCTCATGCGCGCCACACATGCAAATACCTTATCTCAGACATTGCAAACAGTTAATTGAAGCTGTGGTAAAATGTTGAGCGCTGACGGGGCCCGATTTTGGCGGTTTACCGGAGGGAGTAATTTTCAACTTTCCGTAAACAACAAACATGGCAAGGTTGATAGTTCGAGAAAATCCAGGATGGATGGTTGTACCTATATAATTCATAACGACAACCTAACCTATGATTGTGGGTTCGCCCCGATTATGTTTCTAGGTTGTCATCACCATACCCGTGCTCGTGGATTTCACCGAAGTGGTAAACGTCTGATAACTGCATTACTTCGGGCTTTCCTCCCATGTTTAAGCTGACACGCCCTGATATAACTGGAATGCTGTTAAAATCATTGTATATATATATCAGACACCCTTAATGCTCCAGTATAATACATGTGCGGACAGCCTGAAATAATTGCTAAAAATAAACTCTATGTCATACATTTTCTGCCATTCTGTAGCATTTCCGTTGCTTCGGTCGGGAAATAAGACAAACAAACAACTTTTGTGTAAACTGGAATAGGTGTCAATGTACCAAGGAGATTTATATAGAATACGCGAGTACTCATGAATCTCGTGTCCTTATTCCATGTAGACACAGGTCATCCATAATGCATGATATTGCCCCTCATGGCGTTTGTTTGTAATGCATGAGCTAGTCGGCAATTTGTCAAACATGAAAGCAAATGTCATCTGAATTGTACAGTGAAAACAATATCTGAAATGCTGCACTTCCTCACTGATAACATGTAAAATGTGGGTGTAAATGATTTAGGAAAAAAGAAGACATCACCATGGGTACCAATTGTGATCCCCTTCTTCCTGTTTCTTGATCTGTTTCTTTGTGCATATGAATCGGCGTTTCTGCTTAGAATGGCAAAGACAAAACGGTAATTTGGCCAAGAGGTTTAACTTAAGTTCTATTATCTAATATCGTTCAATAACCATCAAATAGCCAAATCCGTTCAACTGATCTACCCACCTGAACTAGACATAAAGAATAGCAGAGAGACCACCTTATCTGTTTATATTTAGATCTATGCATAACGATTCAGAGTGACAGAACACTTACCGAAAGACTGTATGACAAGAGGGATGACTTCAACTTTCCAGTAGTCTACTTTCCCTTCATGTCGAGCAAAATTCCAGCAGCTCCAGCCTTTGGGGTTTACATTTAACAACTTTTGAGATACAATCGAGCATGCTCTTTCTACAACGATTTCAAAGAGCATCACACGACACTTGTTCAGAAGTTGTTTGATCAAGGTTACAACATTCAAGGCCTCAGTAAATCTTTAAATATTTTAATGGCAGACATTTCCAATTTGACGCATCAGTGACAAAAATGATGTCCCCACTTTGACTTGTTCCCCATTTTGCCGTGTTTTTTAAGGTGAACACTTGACTTGCCTTTGTATGTGTTTGTGCCACTGGTGGGGAAGGATATGCTCCCCTTTTCGGAAACACCTGGTATTTGATAGTAATCCATAAACGCATGCTCATAATATAGTCGGAATTGTACAATTGACTCTGATTTCTATTAAATATGGAAAGAGCTTTGCCGCTTTTATTCAATATATTTATTACTGCTTCAACACACATTGTTTTACTCTGAAATGAAACGACATACAATTCATTTTATAGACATATGGCATTATGTTTTCATTACATCCGGGAAACAATTTTTAAGAAAATAAACACGATTTACAACAAATACATCTGAGAAGGCGTGGTGTCCTGCTTGTACCCACTTTACTTTAACATTAACTGTCACAGAAAACCTCTCTGACACTAACACTAACAAATCGATTGAAGGCTACTAAGTTTCTTAGTTAAAAATGATTACATATTTGACTCATTGAAGCTGAGAGCGGTATATAGCTCTGAAAGGTATATCTGGCTACGGTTATAGATTCAAAGTAAATGTTTATATTGATAAATAAACAGCCCAATCTAAATGTGGTTCCTTTCATGTTTTGTCGAACTTTTAACGAGCGCTCTGTCGTATGCTCATTTGAAGAGGTTGGTCTTGCAATCCTCAGATATCCTGGCATAAACTTGATCAATGATCCTTGTTCTATGGCACAGACCCAGAAGAACGATTCTTGACGCGATTTGTCACTTTCTATCGGAAACAGTGTCAAGGAAGTCTATTGACAATTTATGGCTAATTATACTGTTTTCTGTCATGCACTAATGATGCCATTCACCGTCATGAATTGCACTGCATGTAAACACAATTATTCTTGTTTAGTGTTGTGTGTTGATAGCAGAAACTATCATTCAGAGAATTGAAGCATCATTAAACTTAGTGTCTACATTCCTTTTCTCAATATGGGGATCATAATATCTACGAAGAATTCCTATAACACATTGGGGGTCCAAAATCCATCTGAAATTATCCGTATACGTATTGTTGTTGTCCCAGAAGCCAGTGAATGTCTAGTTTAGTCACATGTCAAACTGGTGGCCGTGGCGATGTCAGGCTCTGCAAACAATATAAAACACTCATGTTATTCACCTTGATATATTGACAGAAAACTAATGTTAAAAGGAATGCAATAATTTCCGAAAGCACACATGATGGAACGATGCTACTACCAAAGTTATTTCGTTAAGCATGTTGACGTATAATCTCCCCGTTATATTGATTAAAAACCAATGTTAAATATTTGTCGAAAACATGCATTGATGGAAATATACTTTGTCATGTTTTGTGTATTTTATTGGCAAGAAAACGCCATTTAGACGAATACAATGCATAATATATGATAGATAAATAAAGTAATATTGTGATGATTCATTCACCGGTGAGAGGCCGACAAAATAGCATACATTTAAAACTAATAACAACATAATACAGACGGTTATCTTCTTAAATAGGAATATTGTAATAGCGACGTTTTGTTGACGATTCTATCGCTGTGACGCTGAAATAGACCAGTTATTTATTGTAAAGATCTATTTTTGCAAGGATTAACTTATATTAGTAATCAGTAGACATACCTTGGGACGGATATGGTTGTAGAACAAATGGTCTGTCGGCTTCACAGCGACCGCAGAAACCTCCACAGTTCAAGTTGATGACAAGTCCATCGTTAGAGCGACTAAATATCGCCCACGGCATCCATCCACGTCCAACCCAGTTAACCTGGGGATACAGAATATGGCAACTGAGTGAATGATGGTTTACATACAGTACTTAGTCTTCAGGTACTATGTCGGGCTGTACTTAAACGAGCTAGACGGGGTCCACGCCGTCTGCTAACTATTGCACCGTGATCAACAAGGCCAAGTCGACGTGCATCACAGGAATAGGATTGGGGACCTATTCTGTCCACACGGGCACTAGAAAAATGGTGGTGTCACAAGTCAGACACAACCTCATCACCACCTTTTCATATATGCTCCCACAAGCCAAATACAACACTTTTGACAGTTTTATGGCACATTCAACACGGATCCATATCGTATTATATTCATGGATAATTTTGAAATTTGTTGACAGATTGCGCCAGGTAACGCCTGATAACATTTGGTTATTTTGAAATGAGTTCTGTTAATTCAATGCCTCGTCGCATCATGTTTCGGAAACACGTAATGCAACAGGAATTCAGCCTCGTCCGATGAATCTGTACAAGACATTGTGCAAGAAGTAGACATCCATATGGGCACCAGCTGCACTCCCCTCCTTTATGCATACGGGTCAGAATAGCTTTTCGGTTTGGCGAAACAAGGGAAATTGTCCAAGAAGTTTAACTTATGCTCCAGATAAGCGATGACTCATATTGTTCATTAATGTTCCAATAGCCAATTTTCTTCCACTGATTTACCCGCCTGAGCTAGAAATATAAAATACCAGTGAAAGCGCTTCATAAGATTAATATTTAATATTGAATATCTACGAATAAAGATTCAGAGTGACTAGCCAAGACAAGAGGGATGACTTCAGTTTTCAAATAGTCAGATTTCCATTGTGTCGAGCCATATATTCCAGCAGCACCGGAGATCAATTTTAAAGAGCGACATATGTACGCTTGCTCCAAGGTTGTTTGATCAGGCAACAACATTCAAGGTGATAGTCAAACATTCAAAATGTTTTATGGTGGACATGTGGAGGACATTTCCGACACATGGAAGATATACTAAACCAAATTAAAGACTTCACAATCCTAAAATTTTGACTGTGGGCCCTTAATGTGTATTTAAACAGTTATGGCCACGTATTTTCTTCAGATAGCACCCGGTTTTTTGCAGGTGAATTGAATCATGTGCACAGCACTATAGTGGCAAAAGTGTTTTTTCACGTGCAACTGGTCACGTGGCCATAATACCGCACGTGTTTTCAGCCATACTTGTTAGCAGTCATTAAACAAAAAAGAAAAACAAAAGTCTTTACGGCCATTTGTCATGCCACGCCTTTCAAATGTGCAACGTGAACGTGCCATCGGCATGTTGCAGACGGGAACGTCCGTAGCTGAAGTCGCAAGGACGATGGGTTGTAGTCGACGGACTGTTCATGATTTACAGACGCGTCTACAGCAAACGGGTACCACCGCTGATCGCCCTCGGCCAGGTCGACCACGTGTGACGTCACATGCAGAGGATCGTCAGATTGTCTTACCTCCGTAACCGATTTTTGACGGCTACATCAACCAGAAATGAACTGTTTAGGGGTAGACTGAGTGCGCAAACTGTTCGAAACCGTCTGAGAACTGCTCACCTTCAAGCATGACGGCCATACTGCGGGCCGATTCTGACTCAATTACACAGACGTCAACGTCAATTGTGGGCACAGCGACACTTACGATGGACTCAGAGCAATTGGAATCAAGTCGTCTTCAGTGATGAATCTCGATTTAATCTTCGATTTGCTGATGGTAGGGCGAGGGTGTGGAGGCGCCGTCATGAACGTTACGCCCAGTGTTGTGTACAGGAAGTTGACAGATTTCGAGGCGGAAGTGTCATGGTGTGGGGTGCTTTCTGTGGCAATGCACGTTCAAGGCTTCTTGCCATCCATGGCAACCTCAACGCTGCTGCTTACCGCAACCAGGTACTGGCACCAAAACTTCTGCCTTTTATGGCAGCACATGCATGGACCCGGTTTGATCTTCCAACACGACAATGCCAGATCCCACACAGCAATTTTGACAAGAAATTTCCTTCAGAATGCGGGAGTCAACGTCATGGACTGGCCGACAAGGTCTCCCGACCTCAATCCCATCGAACACGTCTGGGATGCTCTTGGCAGAAGTCTGTGCACTCTCCAGAAGCAACCACAGAATTTGCAAGATCTTGGCACCATTTTGCAGCAACAATGGCGTCGTCTTCCCAATCATGTGTTCACAAGCATCTCAAGGTCCATGCGGAGGCGTTGTGTGGTGGTTGTCAACGCACATGGTGGCCATACACGCTACTGAACTTGTGTGCCATCAGATTCTCGTGCTTGGGACTTATCATTTAAACTGTTGATGTTATTACCGAAAACCGTAGGTGCTTGGAACACATTATGGTTACCACCGTTAATTAAAATCCTTCTTTGGACATTAATGATTAAAAATTACCATATCTGATACATTTGTCCGTTGTACTTTTAAAAATGTGAAGTTTTTAATTTGACTCAGTATATATAAGTGTGACAGAACTTAGGTCTGATGCAATTCTGTACTTGAACCATATGTTCCCTTATCTCAGGTGTATAATAAATTTGCATTAGCTTGAGTTTGAAACGTATACCTCCGGAAACGATCACCTTTTCGTGAGCACCTTGTATCAGCACTATTTGTTAGTGATATCATATAGTCGAAATCATAGAATGGACATTTTTCTACTGATTATGGAAAGAATTCTGTCGCTTTTGACTCCAAATTTAGTTTGCAATAAGTGCGCCATGCAGTATGAAGTATTTTAGGTTGAAGCATCAGAGGATAAGATATTGGCTTGGAGCCCCGATAAATGTCTAAATTCTACCGTTTTGAGCCCAAGGACCAATTTTCAAACCCAGAAATGTTCGCGAAACCTTAACACCCTTCCGAGTTGAATTATCAAGAGGGTGTGCGGGGTCAAAACTGTATTTTACCTTGAACCAAAAGCACCTATGTCTCTGAAAACGGCCCCAGGCGTCAGACGTCGAACTCGCGAGTACACATAAATGACATGGTATTTAATACTTCGTCGGGTGGATTTTGTGACACAAAATTGTGGTAGGGAACGCTGTAAGGATGATGTGGATAATAGTAAGGAACGAGGGAGGCATGTGCATTGCTAGTGAGACACAACGGTGAGTTCGCTTTTGAATCAGTACTGAAAAAATGGAGCCGGTGAAAGTGGCTTGTGTGAATGTTCCAGGACAGTTTCCAGTAGCCGAAGTATTCGACACAAATCTGTTTCATCCTTTTTACTCGACGTTTTTGTGTGAAGAATATTAGGAGCCGCTATAGAATCTATAGTAGCCATTAAACGGGTAGATTTATCTTACCGTAATGATCGTAAAGGGAAGATTGATCGTAAAGGGGATCCAAGGGCTAAGGACAGAGTTAGGGTAATCTAATAGCCACTAAACGGGTACCTTACCCTAATGATCTAATGATTTGGAGCCAATATAACATCCTTAATCAACTGCATTCTTGTGCATAATAATGAAAATTAATGAACCGAAAAAATAATATATATATTTTAGTTCCCATTTACAACCATTTTAGCCACTTGAATTACGACAAAAAGGAAATAAAAGATATATAAAAAATAAAAGTGCTTTCGTAAACTAGCGCTTGCTATAAAATGCGCAGCCTATATTTAGTAAACAAATATTCAAAACTCTCCACACCGCTTGGCGTATTCAATGACATTTCGAGTAGAGATGATAGATCACTGGTAGGAGCTTATTCACACTCGATGAGCCCTGACGTCACAGGGCATTGTTTCGCCGGTGTGAATGGCAACAAAATACTACAAATTACGTCAAAAAGTATTGTCAGGTGTTTGAACAGTTTGTGCTTCTGTATTCTAAAGGTAGGCCGATTATTGTATTTCCTCTCTAATGGTACATGTATAAAGTTAAAATCACTTAAACCTCTTAGTAATGAATGTCCTCGACGACACTTCTGTTGGCATTGGTGTCTGGCATCACGCTTGATGTTTAATTCAACATGCCTGACAAATGCTTGTATTCAGGTAAATGTTCATGAGAACTAATGTCTCATGATAATCGATTCAAACACGCTATCATGAATAAAACAGGGTCCTAAGAACTCACCTGAAGATCAACTCTCATCCCAGTGCCTGTGGTGTCGATAGTGAACGTCCCAAGAGGTCCACAATTGTTGATGGACCCGTGGTTTGTGTAACAATCGTGGGCCTCCCCATAGGGGAACAGGTTATTCGTTGATGTAGCGAACTGATGATCATCAGACACAATCTCCATTGTCTGTAGGAATATGTGAAATAATTTACTAGCTTTGTTTAAACACTTTTTGATGGCATATCACACGGGACGGATATGGTAGATTGAAACAGTTGTGATGCCAAATCGCAATATATTATTTTTCTTATTGCTCAGCTGGAATATTGTATTTGTGCCTTTCAATTTGATAACCATGTACCACACAGTAGCAGAAGAAACAAATCGTTTATGTGGTATTTCCAGCAATATGTACTTTGTAAAGTTGAAAAATAACCGAAAATCGTTGGGATCGGGCTTTGTGACATGTCTGATTGTGTTTCATCTTCATGGATACGTCAAGAAAATATGCAATTGTGCGACAAAACAATGACTATATATGTATATGATTGTCCGAAGAGATCCTGGCAACCTATTTGAAACCTAATACCAAAGCTTGCCACCCACACAAAGCCTTGAATTTAGTAATTTCAAAACCTAACGTAAGTGGTGAGACATGCATCACTTTCCGCATTAAACTGAAATGCCGTGGTAATCTGAAATACTGTTCAAAGCGGCAATTAACAAGATCGGTGTGAAGAATTACCTCGTCTTCTATTTTCGTGGCAGAGCAATAATCCAAATCGAAGACGTCACCGTTGCTTGTAAAAACGATCGTATTCACTGATTATTTCCACTACTACCAAAAAGTTCACGTAGTTTTTCTGACTGTGTCAAGATAGCATATATACAAAACAACTATGATTTAAATGCAGAGGTTATGAACTTCGATTTCATATATGTATATTGTTTTTAAATTCACGTCTTATTCATCCGTGATAACTGTTTCCGCTTGTTTAGCAGAATATGGACAAAAAACAATTTAAGGTTCGAGGTTCTTCTGACATATGTTGATCAAACTTATTATTGTATCAGTCCGGTATACATTTTGCCAACCCGAATGGTACGGTTCGTTTTCAAGTTTGGGATTGAGACAAAAAGATACCCATTAAGAAAAGTACGCAGTGAAAAGTACGGAAATGAACCCAATTATTCTTTTGCCGACATCTTTACTTTCCAGATAACCAATTGGATTTCTCATGGCATAAAAGAGGTGCTACAGAAAAGTACTGAGAAAGTTTTGTATTCATATTGTTGACATATATACCTTATTCAATGGAACTGAATTCATACGTCATGCATGGATTACTTCATTCTGGACAACAATATGTGTATCACCTAAATTATAATGGTCCTGCCGAATAATCTGTCTGGAAAACTGGACTAAAAAGCAAATGGTTGAACAAAATGTTGAAAAAGGTTACTTTATGACCTGGGAGAGATGACACAATGTCCCTTCTCTTGTTTAGGTCAGCACATTCAGGTATATTTCAGACTGCCACAAGCTATTCACTTCACATTCACTGAAGGACGGCATGTTCACTTACTTCAGTGTTGACCTTTATCTTGGTAAACGTTGTATCACCGCCTTTACCTGGCCACGTTCCCGTTGACCCACAGTTTGCTCTCTTCGTGTTCGGATAGTGTCCACTGTTGGAAGTCCCGAGTGACACATACTCGGCCGGGGCGTTACCCGACATTCCATGGCAATAAATCCTGGCCTTTTGGCCATTAAACGTAGGAGGATAGAGCCAGTATTCTCCATCAGTGCGACCGCTCTCACAGCGCTTTACCTCTGCACATGTGGAAGGACCTATGAACGCATATGCATGTTATACACTAAATATAGTCAAAGTGTGACTAAGATTAAAAACATGAAACAAATCGTGGGCCTAAAAAGTCAGGGTTGTTAGGTTGAAACAAAAACACTTCTTTTCTTCTTCTGTTCAAATTCATTTTTTTATTGATTATCTATATTTTGAACAAGAAGTCTGCTCTTTTTCTAAGCCTGGAAATTTTTTGAAAGTAACTCTTTTTCCAAACTACAAGCCTAGGCATTAATGAAGACTATTGCTACTGAGGAACATCCTGATTACTCTCAATCTCATTATGTCTGATTTTGATATTCCATGTATCTCGAAAAACACTTATTGCTTTAAATGTAACAGCACAGTGGAGGGAAACGCTTGGGTTGGTAAAAAAAAGCCTGCTCTTTTTCTAGAAAAAAATCTCTTTTCCAGTACTTAATATACTATCAAACTACAAGACATCACTGAAGACCATTAATGCTGAGGCGCTCACGTTTGCAAATCATAGATGTCCAATTTCCACTGATGAGACAGGTAACATCATCCTCTGTGTCTGGTAACCGACCTGTATCACAGTCATATGTCACCACCTCGCCGGCAATATGAGGTTCTTGTGTCGGATCGAACAACTTCACGCTGTGTTCAACCGTGGGGCCTACAGAACATTCTGAAAAGAAGAGTATGACGTATGGGAAACATTTATACCGTACATAATGCTTTTGCGAAATTTAAATCTTGAATGTAAAATTATTGATAATCATATCATAACCATAACCATTAAATCTTAGTTTGGACAATGAATATGCATGAGTTTAGCTAAATGCATGACGATACATGTGAGCAGAAAGGGAATTCCCTCGACTGTAATATTGGGATTCCCCGACATTCTATTGAAATAAAAGTAGCCCGCTTCGGTGAGCGTGGCTTAGCTTAATTGGAAAATGAATGCAATAACACGTGACCAATTCAGCTAATCAGAATGCAGGAATTAAAATGAACAACGAAAATTTGATATTAATACAAACAAATATTATTCATATATATTGCGTTACCTATGTAACGACGGACACAACGTTTTAATGAAAGGGTTTTCTTAAATTAGCTTCACGTTGCATGGCATCAGCAGTATTCAAAGGGGAAAGGGAATTTCTTAAATTACATATCCGTCCCTGCTGCGCATTTGTCGATGTGGGCATTTAAGGGGATGTACCTAGTTTTGGGGTCCTTTATCAGTTGTTTATGGACGCGCATTCTGTTCCTTAAGCACTCTGTTTGTCAAATGTATTCCTCGTGACACTCTTGGCACATAACTACATAAATTATATGTTTGTCGGAGCAGTCAAGGTTAGAGCGTACATGGAATGGTTGTTTTCCTGTTTTTGAACTTAAAATTTTAAGTTTCAACTGTATATTCACAAGTTTCACAATTTGCCCGTTTACATTTTGAGACACTGAATTCTATAGACATAATACATGAGTCAAAGTTGGCGCGTGTTAATATCTTTCTTAAGTTACGGCTTTGGCGATTACTTTCTATCATTGTTACAAAAGAAAAAATGCGTTTCATTTTAGTATCGAAATTTAAAATTGGAACATTCTGTCTGACGCTATGGAATGGTTCCGGATTTTTGGGATTGTGCGTAGATACATAGGCTAGATTGATAGTGTAACTAATTTGCTTATATCACGCACTTTCAACAGTGTCTTTCTGTCTGTGGCTGTTGCATTTTTTATCCCATCCACGGGATTGTAGATATGATTTTAGTTCTGCAAGTCGTATGCTCCTTGAAGATATGTTTGACACAATCATTGAATGATTTGTTTTGTATGACTCGGGCGACAAGATGAAAATATAGATATTGCTTAGTATCTGTGGGTTTATAGTATACATCTGTTTTTAGATCACGTCAACATAAATTTACCATAGTGTCCAAAAATGGAATTTCAGGGTAACTGGAGTCCATGGTAAAAATCCAGATGTTTGTTCAAATTATTTCAGATGTTAGAAAACAGATTTAATTCGTTGTCGTCAAAGGGCCACAGCATAAAACAATCCTCCAGGAAACGTCGCCAATTTCTTCTAAAGTATTCAGCGGCTTAAGGTCCTTCCTGTTCTCTCACTTTGGTTTCAAGAGTTCTTTCCAAAAATATCTCAGAACAAACGTAGCGTAAGTGGGTTCCAATTGCTGTACCTTATATTTGTCTACAATGTTCACAGTCAAACGTAAACGTATTGTTAAAAAAATGTTGTATTCTAGAGCACTGCACAATTAACTTATTTAATTGTATTGAGCATTGTTATACAAGCACGTATTGTTGCAGTTTCAAGTGTATATCTTCTTGAGCCCGACAGTTTACTTTATGCCATTGCATATGTTTCGATATAAGGTCGCCATTGGTCACATTGTATAACATGAGATTTATAACAATAGATTTGTTTATGCAAGAATGGTCAGATTGAAAATCTAATTCATGATTACCACGGCCAGAATTATACTTTACCTACAAATCCTTATTAACACCTGAACAAGAACTGCCATCAATGAAGAAATTTAAAAAGAGCTCTTACAACAAATACAGGTTCAAAAGGTTTTAAAATACAAACATTTTGAATTTCTTTTGATCATGGTTTTACTGACAGTTTATAAAACCTTTGTGGAGAAGACTTAGATGGTGAATACCATGCACTATTTATATGTCCAGCTTTGCCAACTTAAGGTCAAGATATTTGCGCTTGCATTATTATAAATATCCCACCTTGAATAAGTTTGTATGTTTACTCATAACAAATGACGGTAGCATCTTATTACAGATAGCTCGTTATATTGAAACAATGTATAAATTGAAACATTTCAAAACCAGTATAAATTGATGCGCTCTGACATAATGTGTCAATATTATCTGATCATCTATACTATTACACACGAACTTATGTACATTGTATAACATGACAGAGAATGTGAATGCAAAACATTGTCATATTCTTCAAAATGAAATATTATCAACCCAGGGTTGACCGGCCACAATTGACATTCATGATATGCAAACACCAGCGATGAGTGATATTTACCAAAATGTAACCATTTATACTTATTCAGGAAATGTGTACCATTCCGACTTTTCTGAAGGAATTGTGATTAATTACCCTTGACCCGACATGGAACGTCCTTTCATAGCTCATCCTCATAGAATCATCCTGTTGATAGCAATTGTCTTTAAACAGGTTGTAGTTGCACTTAAAACGTACTACATTGATTATGTTGTTATTTACAGCAACCCATACAAAACCAGAATGCCAAATGGTGGGTCCCTAAAGTGCATTTCTTTGAATATGTTTAGTGTTGCCACAGACCGATGGCAGTGGTAAACAAATCAATGTACAAGTACAAGTATCATGTCGCGTTATCGGGATTGTCTGGTATGTTATGATCCACTCTGTAATGGCGCTGAATGTAACATACAAATGTCGATAACTTTTCGCGAACACCTGGTATCATCACTATTTGTTTGTGCTTCATAAACACATGCATATGATATAGTTGGAGTCGTACAAGATATTTCTATTGAATGTCAAAAGGTCAAAAGTGTTGAACTTGCAAATCATCCTTATTAATGTTCATATGTCATGAGAAACACATGATAATGCTGTTGGTAGGGATAATACTGTTGTTGCGATAAACAAGCGATTTTAAAGGGGTGTAATATTTTTCACTGCTGTGGAGGCTCGCAGATAATTATGGTCAATTTCATTTCTACAATTCAAGATTAATTAGTTCTTGTGGCGAACCTCTTCTACCACCTTTGAGCTACTTCCGACATACATTGGTCACCTTCTTTACAAAGATTAATGTCTGAGACATTCTCAGATAATGTTCAGGCACATATGTGAGGGCTTGGCGTGTTTCATTGAAGATTTCATAATACTGTCTACGACAATGGAATTACTAGTAATCTTGCATGTCCTTTATCAACACGTTTATATGATGCAACAATAGATTTTATTGACGCGGAAAAAGAGTTCAAGAGAAGCTTAGTACAAGTTACCTGTCGGTTTCCTGAAGTAGGCAGTACCGTCACTGGCATTCCCAGTCGGCTCCACAAATATCATGGAGTGAATTTGACAAGACAAATTTCCCTCGTGGTAGAAGAAGGACCAGCACGCTGGGTGTGACCCACACTTTGCAGCACATTCTGCTCGGGGTACTCCACTCAATTCCAAGAGGATGTTTTCAAAGTTAATGATTCCATCATGGGTTGGCATATATATCCAGGCGAAATTACTTTCTGTACATAAAGTCGCCAACAATAATTTGAACTTTACTAACAATATTATGGCGATCCTCATAATCATACTCGAACGAGGGTGTTTCACAACCAAGGCAATGAACAGTTCATCACGCCGAGAGACAGCGAATACTGAATGTTCTTAGCCTGGTAACTAAGAGACATGGCCACGAACCATGTCAATATGATTTCTATAGGGAATATCGCCAGTACAACACATGTGCGAGTGATTACTCATTCAGACACTTAAAGGAAACGACTTTTATCACCTGATATCTCACCAATACAACTTACGTTTGACAATCCGAGAACAAAAAGCGTCTTTGTGTTAGTCTCAGCTCTTTTTTCACATTGATAACCGTGTGGCTGTGTCTGTTTTACAGTGCAGAAAATGTACTACTTCTTGCGTTTAATTCTGTTGACGCTGTTTCCACAAAAGGAAATTTCCCTGTAGAGTTCTCGCATCATGTTCCATATGTGAAGTTTGCCTGAGAAATAGAGATTACTACACGAGTGTCTGTCAGAGAGCACTTATCTCACAACGAGTTGTTTCAAAACGTATTTAATGAGTGAAAGCTCATTAGAAACGCTTTGTAACGACGAGTTGTAAGATCAATGGTATCTGATATGCACGGGTGCAGTAATATGTTTTTTACTTTCCCTACCATCGCACCTTTTAGCATCGAACCGATGCATTTTGTCTATTCTCATGATTGCAGCAGCGCATTAAAACATAACACCAGTACGTGACGTCATCCTATGTACTGCCTACTACTATAAATAATGTGACCCTACACAAAAGGGTTTCCGCGATATCTGTAGATTATCAAGGCGATGATAATAATGAAAACATTACAAAAACAAAAAACACGCTTGGTGTCAAATTAAAAGTTTACAAAAGATATACAACAATGTTAACTTCCGTATGACATCAGTACCAGTGACCGACTTTTACAAAATGGCGTGTTCACTGACAACAGTACGCGAGATTTCCAGAGGAGGATTTTCGTTGATTGAGGGATCGTATATACATAAATGCGTCACGTAAGTAATCAGAAACATCCTGACAATCTGCGTACTGTTTTTTGTTAACCATGTTTTCCAATGTAACAAAGAGAATTAGTCAGAAATGCAGATAACTACCGTCACTATTCGTCATGTGATTTAGCGTCAGTCATGGCGTCAAACAGGACGGAAACTTTTACGGCTTCTGATGAATTTACCACATCATTGTAATGTATATATGTGTAATTCCATAATAAGTGCAACGATACTCTTCCCATGAATATTCTTAAATGCGTAATCGAGCCAGTGTATATAACAATTAGACGAAAGTACCTCTAAACATTTTGCTTTGTTAACATTTCAGCAAGTACAGTTTTCCGAGCACAGTTTTCGTTTCCATGCCTAACTTATTTCGCATGATTTCATCAAGATAATTTGCATTGGTGACAAAGACCATTTGTCATTTGTTTCTAAAATATATGAGGAATTCAGGTTTGATCGAATAGGCGTCTCACCACCGGCATTTTGTACACACAATCCAATATGGCGGAACGTACGTGTATGCGTATTTTCCAAAACATTCTGAACGATTCTAGGCTTATCAGCGACGTTGCAGACGTAGCATTAGTGATGTGATGCCAGTGATAACAAATATGTTAATTTTCTCCTTTAAGCGGCTTAAAGCAACATTTACTCACTCACTCACTCATTTCTCCTTTAAATATTCGAGTAAATATCCGATATTTAGATTTCAAAACAGACAGTAAATAACGTCGTTAATTGCGATTTGGCGAGATTAGCAATGTACCTAATTTTCAGAAGTCATGATCAGTAGTTTTATTTTGCCTAAATGACAGTAAACAGAAGGGCGAATTAAAACTGTAAGGTGTATTAGTTTGCGTGATGAGTTTTGAATTTTATTCGATTTCGAAGTGAGGGTTGAAGAGGAAGGACATATGTGTCGCTGTGGCATCCAGGGGGTTGACACTCAGAAAACCGATAACGTTGACATAACAGATAATGACGAGGACGGGTTTTTTATTTGTATTACTAATTACATCACGGGCCTGTTGTTCTATACAAAAGTAGGTGAACATTCGACTGAAACTTATGAATGACTTACACTCAGGAGAGTAGTCTGTCATCATCTGACCTCAGGTCATCACCAAGGAGTAGCCAATCACGGGTTTGGAATTCGATCTCACACAGATACCAGTTATCTCAAATGGGTTTCTCACCCACAGGTGTGTAAGAAACAAGGTTCTGGTTTAAGTGAAGATTCCAGGCATAACTAAGTGTACACTTTATTATACAGTGTTCAATCTTAGAAATAATTAATTTAATTTCACCTTATTACAAGTTACTTCCCAATGCGTTATTGAATTCACTCAAACGTTAGGGTCACTGTAAATGTCATTCGGTGCATGACTTCAAGTATGTATTGTTATGTATTATGATTTAAATCCAATCGAACATTTTTGGGATGCACTGGATCAATGACTGCAAGCACGTCAGCAACAACCATAGAATCTCCGACAGTTGACACAAGAAGCACTGGAGGCAATGTGGGTGAACAATCCCCAGGGCCACAATTCGGGATCTGGCTGCTTCTATATATGGGACGACGATGGCAGTAAGTTTTGGAATCTAATGGTGTCCCTCCACCTTGAAAATCTACTTTTCCGTGTGTGCCAGCTGGGTCAATGATAATGATGTGTGCAAATTGTAAACACTCGATTACCATCTGTTGATTATTTATGTGATGTATAAAATAAACGTCTAGAATCACTTTTGCGTTTCTTCTTTTACAGAGTATATATTTTGTCATTCATAAACAATCTTGAGACGGTATTAATTTACAACGTTTTACTTCCACGAGAGTGAAGTGACGGAATATCATGAAAACGAGAGATATTTACAAACACTTCATTAATGGGCTTTCTACACTTTAATAATACGGATTTTGTATCGAACCGTCTGTTTCTTAACCAAGTGGAAATAACATGCTAATAACCAAGAGCCTTGGAAAAATGGCAATAGAATCGTCATGAGGTCAAATGAACCCAAACTTATTACAAACTTATTGTCTGGTGTATCATGTCATGCTCGCCAACACATGTAATCCACATACATGTATATCAATTTTGTCAGAGGATATTTCATCTCAACCTACCCATCAGTCAAATAGTGTTGTGGAAGTCGTTGTCCTAATGAGTGTTAAAAAATGGTTCACAGTTACATTGTATGTCAAATTTCCCATCTGCGTACATGTACATGTATGTGAGGCCAGATGTCGCTTTGGCAGCTTACGTAGTAACATATACATTGTGTTGATACTATAGATTAACCAGCCAAGGTGGCGAATCCAGAAAGATAGAACATATTCCTACTTGTGATGGTTAGTCTGGATAATTACTCGGCACGTAGAACAGAGTAAATCATTTTACCCATATATCGCTCAAAGAGGCGAGACTGACTGCAAGAAACGAGAACATCCTAACAATTCTTAACTTTCCAGTTACTTGTGAACCTTGGATAGTGAACATGCTTATACAAATTATATAAGCAGATTCATTATCCAAGGTTCACAATTCCAATTCACTATCCAATTGAATAAATTCCCAGGCCATCCCAGGTTCGGGCAAGACATTAAGGGACAGGACATTAATAAGCGCGATAAGTTGATAAGTTAAGTTACTTTGAATGTAAACATTTGATATGCACATATACATTTGCTACTTCGGTTTCCCCTAGATATTACAACTATTTTATATAAATATTCAAAATTTGGACTCTGAACTGAATGGAAGCAGTGGGTTTCATTTCCTGAGCAGAACTCGAAAACTATTAGAGATATCTTTAAGACACTTGGAAAACGCATTCACCTTTTGTGTAGATGTGGCTTTTACTATTTATGATTCCCCAAATAATTTTGTTTCTATGGAAATGTTATACATTTAGACTTGAATTGAATGGAAGCAATCCAACCATTTTACCTCAGTTTCGATATGTCCTTCTCCACGAGAAGTTTAGTGTAAGTCTAAGGTTTTTATAGAGTCTATGTACTTTACATATTTTAAAATTATGTTTTATTTTCATATTTCCCATCAGTAGATATTGCAACAAACAAAGCTATGAAAGGATTCATAGTAGATGTATTAGAAGTTCACCAGGATTTGAGAGGTAAGCATTCTCACAACGTTCGAGTGACTGAGTGAGTTTAACATTTTAACGTCGCATCGGCATTATTTCAGCCATATAGCGACGAGACAAAGTAAATAGTTTTACACCCATCAGTAGATATTGCAACAAACAAAGCTATAAAAGGATTCATAGTAGATGTATTAGAAGTTCACCAGGATTTGAGAGGTAAGCATTCTCACAACGTTCGAGTGACTGAGTGAGTTTAACATTTTAACGTCGCATCGGCATTATTTCAGCCATATAGCGACGAGACCAAGTAAATATTTTTACACCCATCAGTAGATATTGCAACAAACAAAGCTATGAAAGGATTCATAGTAGATGTATTAGAAATTCACCAGGATTTGAGAGGTAAGCATTCTCACAACTTTCGAGTGACTGAGTGAGTTTAACATTTTAACGTCGCATCGGCATTATTTCAGCCATATAGCGACGAGACCAAGTTAATATTTTTACAATTTAGTTAATTATGCAAAGTTTTATTTAAAAACAAACTGTGAAACATATTTGAGTATACCATGTTTTAAAAAATTAATGAAACATATTTGAGCATAACAATATGATGTATACACCAGCTCCCAAAGCTGGACACATCGTAGGGGATCATGAGGAATTACAGTACCTCTGTTTCCTGCATGATACCCCAGCGGGATCACAACTTTTGAACCTTATCTGCACAGTGAACCTTAATCTGGTAACTACATACAAGAATATGGCTGCAACATTACGTGCCTGTATAACAATGCTTAACAATACAATTCATTACTTCTTTGATTTAGAAGTTGGAGTATTAAGTAAGGATAAGAATTTATGGATGAACAACTTCTTTATTACAACTAAGAGCGACATTTCGGCGTAGGTTCTAACACCGTTATCAAGCAAGTGATATACAGAATGTGGTTGGCACGTATATATACAAGTAGGAGGCAATGTTTATACAGTAGAGTAGATATTGTTATACTGGAGGCAATCAACCGTGACCAAGGCTACCCGGCATACCATCAACTCACCAAAGACCCCAATCAGCCATAATCCCGTTGTTTATATTAATGGCTTCATCCTTTGTTTATGTCACTGACTTCACCGATGATTGTCATCACTACCCTTGTGTGTACATAACAGGGTTCTCTATTCCAGTATAACAATATCTACTCTAAAAATATATTTACATATAAGGAATAATGCATGTTTGGCCACGTAAACCGGTGTGGATTCCAGTCCCAATGATATGTCCTAAAACCACCTGGATAGGGATGTCAGTTTCATTGATTTGGTTGATTGTGTGTTATGGTATCCCAAATGCTGACAAGGTGACAGGAACTTTTGTTATATGATGTCTTTGTACACATTTTAATCTGTTGGCTATATATCCACGTGAGGTACAGTTCCGTGGCACTATACTTTCCAACAACACTTAAATACAGCTCCAGAAGAGCATATTCCTCGAAGCTTGTAGGTTATGCTCGAATGTATCCTTACGTAGGCAAATTCATCGAAGAAATTCGTTCAAGAATATCATCAGTTTATTATTCACACATACAAACTTTGATGTTACGTGGATGTAATTGTGTATTCTGAGATATCCACAAAAATACGGTAGGCTTGTAACAAATAAGGATTTTACTTTCAAACAAAACAATTCTAACATTCAAGATAACATTAATAGCAAGCCCTGTCATAACAAATGCGTATTATGGAATAAACGCACCAACGCAAGTCTGTCCCCTTGTATTTCTATGAGCAGCTTACATGACTCCAAACTATGGTAACTTCCGGGCCACTTCGAAGATCACTGGACTTACTGTTGCCTCGGATAAAGGTGGCTCTAGACGAAACGGAGAAACAAAATATTGATTGAATGGTGTCGTAGGCCACAGATGACATTAACACAGTAACAGTAATCTGTACATGATCCATTTACGATTAGTCACGCCAGTGATTGACAGCATGGGCACCGGACAACGCCATCAGAAGGTCCTCACAAATTATCGATGGAATATGCGTTCAATGATAAACGAATGTGGCATCGATTTATTATAATACTGCACTGACCTCCTACACAATAATGCTACAATGGTCACTTTTACGTATATTATTATATGATATAATGTCCTACATTGGAATGATGCAACAACGACCTGCAATATTACTACACTGTGACGGCTACACCTACCATAATTCTACGGTGGACGCATATATCTACAATGAGTGAGTATGGTTTTACGCCGCTTTTAGCAATATTCCAGCAATATCACGGCGGGGCTTCACACATTGTACCCATGTCGGGAATCGAACCCGGGTCTTCGGCGTCAAGAGAGAACGCTTTAACAACTAGGCCTAGTGGTTAAAGCGTTCGATCGTGTCGAGTTCGATTCTCCACATTGGTACAAAGTGTGAATCCAATCTCTGGTATCCACTGTCGTGATATTGCTGGAGATGTGCTGAAAGCGGCGTAAAACCATAGTCACTTACTTCTCTGAAACTACAATGTCTGAGTGATGAGTGCGTGAAAACCGGTTTCATTATTTCAGTTGCACACTGTGTCAGCTTAATGCGGGAGAAATTGATACTGGCCCTCACCGTTCTCAAACCAGGTATCATTACCAGGGCGAATCAGAATTTTCCATGTCCTACCATCTGCTTTATATAGCTGGAGTGTGAGAAGACCGTCAGGAGCACAACCCCCGCAGTATCCTCCACAGTTCAAGTTCACCACCAAGCCATTGCTGGCACGAGAGAAAATGGTCCACGGCATCCAACCGACCGATTTCCATGACAGCTGAAAATGTAGGATAATGGGACGTAAGGAGCTCAAACGCACCATACATGCAAACACCTCATCTCAGACATGAGCAGCTATTACTTTTTAGCGGAACATATTTATGTAATATACAGTAATCACAGTACCTCATCTGTACCATGGGCCAATGTGTAGCATGCCATATAATACCATGATTTCGCACGTTCGTGTTTGTTTACAAGAGACGAACTTGAAAAAAGCTAAGTCTTTTTTTTAGTTAGTCGGCTCACTCATATTATTGCTGACAGTTTTGATGAATATTCATTCCTGTTCACATAGCTTCACACATGTAATTGCATAGCTAGGTGTATATTAACTACCGTCGTAGCACACATTCTAACAACACATCTGGGCTATATAAAAATATATACTAACCCCAAAAATGAAACTGTGCATAGCAAACAATGGATACAGTAAATGTACAATATGAATTTATTCAAAAGCAATGATATTGCATGAAACAAAATTCATTTGTCTACAAACAAGAACAACATTAAATGTATATGCTGTACACTATCGACTTCAGGATGCTGATGCGGTGCATGGGGTCAAAATTAAAAGTCACAGATTCAGAAGCGAGTATGTCCGACGGCTGCATGAATTACAGCTGCACATCGACGCCTCATGGATGAAATTAATCAATGAAATTAATCGCGTATGAAAATGTTGAGGGGTGTTATTCCATATTCTGACAAGCTCTACTTGCACATCACAAGGTGTTACGGGGGGAGGGAGAGGGGGAGGGGGAGGGGAAGACGTCGTAGTTGTCGATCCACTACGTCCCAAACATGCGCATTTGGCGAGGGTGCGGTGAAATTGCTGGCCATGGCAGAACATCGACTAGTTGCTGTTGGAGAAATTATTGCATAACACGGGGTGTGTGTGGACGTGCATTTTCTGGCTGAAAAAAATATGCCAGGGCCATGACGTTTAACAGAGGTAATAACAGCTGGTGCCACAACTTCATCCCGGTATCGAACTGCAGTCAAATCACCGTCCACAATGATCAATTGCGTCCTGTTCTGAGCAGTGATACCTCCCCACACCATGACAGAGCCTCCACTATATTGATTCCTCTCCACTACCAATGTATCTGCGTAGCGTTCATTGGATCGTCGATAAACCCGTTGACGGCCATTTGATGACGACAGGTTAAGACTCGTTAAGACTCGTCAGTGAACATCACACGTCCCCACAAGTAAAGTGGGTGTCTGACATGTTGTCTGCACCATTGTAGACGTGATGGGCGATGACGTAATGTCATAATGGGACGAATAGCAGCTTTCCTAGCACGTATGCCGTAACTTATCAAGCAGTTGATGACAGTTTGTGAATGAGTCCGTCTACAGTTAGGAGTATTACGGAATGTTGTTGTTGCTGCTTGACGCCGATTTCGGAGATGAACCAGTCGAATCATGCACATTTGGGTTTACTTCTCTTATTCCTGTGATTTATACGTCTTGTATTATATTAATTATTCCAATGCACAGTTTTCTTTTGGGGTTAGATTATAATTTTGCATTAACTTCATTTGAAATATTTCAACATAATTAGTAAATGCGTCATCGTGTCGCTTGACTTACTGGTTTATCACGTTATTGTCTTGTTCTGTGACACCGTCGTAGCATGGCAGAAAAGGCAACAAACACTTGATTTTTAAGCAAATAATTTTCACCGCTTAATTACCTTTTACGCCTACAGGAATCTGTTTTGGCAGATAATCGATACTATGTTTTCTCTGGCGTTTGCGACATATATATTATGCAGATAATTTACATTATACAATGTCATTATGTATCGTCCTTTTCTTTACACACAACAAGACAGCGTATGTCATGGACGAATGCATCAATAATCATCTGCGTCTTACCTGACAGATTTAAATGGAATAGGCCTTAGTGTCTGACAGAAACAATATAAAGGAATCTTGCATCTATTTACATGCATATATTTGTTTACTAAATGTTTATAGACTTAACTTTTACACATAAAGTATTATTTGTACTCAGATAACTTTAATATACATATTACTAAATCTGAAATTACATACTTTTATTACTTACCACGAGTAAGTTAGTGACTACTGCGTGACGCCGCATCTGCAATCGTGCAGCTATTCGTGGCAAGGCTTAGCACGAAAGTAAAATTGTTAACTCCATGTTACGTTCAGGTGAACATACTTGTAACTGTGTGTTCGTTAATAAGTAGGACACATACATGTATCTCTTCTCTCAAAGTTAAATTGCAGAATGTGGAAAGTACTTAGATAATAAACATGATTCCTTCATAGCAAATGCACGCAACAAGTGTTAAACATGATGCAACAGTCGCAAATTGATCTTTACAATACTTTGTGCTAAGTGCATTAATATTTCTTGGAGTCCTAATGCTAATCTCACACCACTGCAGTTCTATCGCGTTCTTCCCCGTTCTAAACAAATACTAGAACGGGCTGTGATCATGGTAGAACGCGTAGTTTGGCGTAAAATACGATGCTAGTTGGTTCATAAGCAGTTCTCAGTACGTCTATCTCGTTCTTATCTCGTTCTTGCCAAGTCTGCAGTCCGTGTGTATCCAGTTCAGATCGGGTAAAAGTGCCCGTTCACCTCATCCCGACAACGTTTCGAAGCAGTTCGAGCACGTCCGTAGCCGTTCTCAACCCGTTCTGAACCAGTTCCACCTCGTTCTACTTCGTTCACAATACGTCCAAGCCAGTTCTAACTGAGTCTTAACCCGAACAACTCGTTCGCAGTACGTCCTCATGTCGTCCCAATTCCTTGTGTATTCGCGTCCTGGCCCGACTCCTATGGATACCGAGCTCGTTGTAGCCAGTCTTCATTCAAGTTCAGGGCTCCGAGTTGTACACATCATGCCTCCACAGAGAAGTCTATCCGGTCGGTGTGCACACGTATTGAAGTTTATATCCGACTGCACCACGTCGAAACACGTCCCTAGTCGGTTCGACGTACGGCAATTCCGTTCGTAAAACATTTTTCTCGTTTTAAGTACGTTGTCAATCCGACTAATTGAAGAACGGGATGCAAGGGATAACATTTTGAGCAGACTCAAAGTTCTAGAGCACCCACACCGTCCGAGCCCGTCCATGAAGTTCGTAAAGAGACTGTCAATAGTTGCTACGATCATACACAGTTGGAGCCCGTTCGACAACATTTTCACGAACCTATTGAGAATTAGTTTGGTGTGATGGTGGTATAGTATTTAACAATCACCTGTACGTTTTCAGCACGTGTTAACGGGGTAATAAGACATAATGTTCCCTGAACAATGACATATAATTTTGTCCTGGCTTTTTACTAGTTTTTTCTCGGCAAGGGGTTCTCTAAGTAAATGAACGCCATCATCGGTAACATAATGTAATAAACCAGTTGGAAGAGGACATCCAGCAGTGTGGTGGTAGAGGGATATTTGTACACGAGGATTTACTGGAATTGGTTCTTCTCTTATATGCGGATGACTTTTGTATTTTTGCAGATTCAGTTCTTGAACTACAGGAGAAGATTGATGTTTTACACGAATTTTGTAACAAATGGGGTCTAAAAGTTAACATGGATAAAACTGATATCTAAGTTTTTCGTAATGGTGGTAAGTTAAGGAACTACGAGAAATGGAAACTGGGGCGTATGCCTGTCAAGGTTTCTACATATTACAGTTATTTGGCTGTTATATTTTCAAACAGGCTGTGTTGGTCGAAAACAGTTCAGACATTAGTTTTGAAAGCAAGTAAAGCTTTAATTCCTATAAAACAGCTTAGTTATAAACTTCGAAATATCGCGTCCAAAGTGTTGTTTAAAATTTTCCACTTTTAGATTAAACCTATTATTTTATATGGTTCAGAGATTTTGGGGGTTCATAAATGGTTGTTTCTCGAACGTTTCCAAGCAAAGTTTTGTAAATTTGTTTCGGTTATCGGTTCCAAATCTACAAATGTTGCAGTGCTCGGAGAGTGTGGTCGATACGGTATTTATATTGATTCTTACACAATATGTTTAAGATACTGGTTTAAGCTTCTTAATATGTCTCAAGAGAGATTTCCAAAACGGGTTTACGATATGTTAGTTAGGTTTGATGCCGTTGGTAGGAATACATGGGTTTCGGCTATTAAGAATATGTTATATTCTCATGGCTTCGGACATGTGTGGGAATTTCAAGGTGCTGGTGATCCTGAATATTGTAAAAGTGAGTTTATACTGAGGGTTAAGGACTGTCATGCACAAACATGGTATTCTGAATTGTCTGGATGCTCGAAATTAGAACTGTATTCATTATTTAAGACATCATTTTCACTTGAACCGTATCTATTAAATGTATTATCAAAAGAAAAGCGACGTATGCTTACCCTTTTACGTATTGGAGAACTGGGAATTATGCATAACACAGGAAGGAGGGATGGCATCGATAAGACACTCCGGTTTTGTCCATTGTGCAAGTTAAGGGCAGTTGAAAATGAAATTCATTTCATTCTTGTTTGCCCTATTTATGAAGATATTCGCTCAAAATATTTCCCATATTTAGACTTCATTACTGGTAATAATCGTAAAGACACACTGGTTAGAATGTTAAACTCTTCTGATGTAAACCGCCTTGAGAACTTAGCCAATTATGTTAAAAATGCTATCTGTCTTCGTTCTTCTTACCTGTAAATATTATTTCATGCAGCACTTGATGTGAAACCAATTTGTATATATATATGTACGTGGGCCTGAGGCCTTATTACCAAATAAACTGATTGATTGATTGATTGATAATGTAATACAGTACCATGCATATTATTTTTGAAGTTTTTTGGGCTTATAAAACTAGTTTCAAATATTTGATAATTGATTTCACTACATTCTCTCGTGTATCGCCGAAGCCGAGGACGACCATTACGCGTCCTCAAAATATACATACATGTAGTTCCGTTAATTCCAAATGCACATCAACTAGAATGTGAAAATCCACAAAAAATGTCCTTTCGGGAATAGTAATCGATCAGTTAAACAATATACCTACTCAAATGGTATTATCGCAGCTGGTAGATCATCCAACCGTTAGTCATTAGTTTTATTTGTAGACCGTAACATATCAAAAGACATGGAAAGTTGCCTCTTCATCAATGTAGTCACAATTTTGAAAGCTTTTGAGAGCAACACATCGTAATTATATTACAGGTTCACCCACGGTCTCCCTTATTCTGTTGGGAATATTGAATACTGGTTTCACGATCTTTCAGCTCGTCTCAGCCTCATAGAATCTCGGACAACAATAGCACTAATATATATTGGAACTAGTTTCCTGCACGTGACTGCATTGTTTCCATTTGCTCTCATCTTCAAATGAAAGTGAAAAACTAAATTTCCGTTGAGCACGAAATAACCTTAAAGTTATTTGCATTTGTATTACTGTGTAGGGTTATCTTTCGGAACCACGCAGAACACAGGTGGTGTAATCAACGAATTGTGATAATACATACTCAATATTTCCTACTGGTACAATTGGTGACATTTAAACATTTTTATTACGAGAACACGGGCGATCTGGACAATTTGGAATTATTGTTTAAAATTCAAACCTCAAAATGTGGTAAAGTTCAAACTTCTTCCATGACAGATTTTTTTAAACGTGTATGTCTTAAATAAAGATTGAGTGGATGTATCTGTTTGCTCTGTCATCTGTTATGAGTTGCATAATTGATGGGAAGTAATTCTTCCAGTAAGAAGCTGGTTTCAGTTATACGGAAATTCGTTTATACGGACGAGTTGTGAATTCCCTTAATCATTTCGTGTCAATATTGCTAGTATATCTGGTCAAAGAAGAAATATGTATGGAGACAAAAGATCTCCCTGGTGCCACCCTCTAGATACTTAAAAAAATTAAAGGCCCAAATCCATTTACCAGTACTCACGAATGCATACTGTATAAAAGGTGCTGCTCCAAATGACTAATAAATAATGTATCCCCAAAATGGATTAGAAAAGGTGGCATTACAGAGATTACAGTGTAAACATACAATATCATTAAACACTGCGGTCTCGTATTTTTGTTTGCTTGTTTGTTGTTTAACGCAGCTATATTGGATACAGCACCAGACAATCCAGCGACTGACAACATGAGTATCGATCTACGCAATCGGGATACTACGACATGCATCAAACAAATCACCGAGCCTGACCAACCAATCCCGTTAGTCACCTCTTATGATAACCATCTTCTGCTAAAGATCAACTCTAACCCAAATCTTCACGGGTAGATATTATGAAGGTAGCGGAATACAGCCAGGGGACCCAGTGACTCTACATACGGAAGGGTTGACACGGAATCCGGTCCCAGATGTGTCTATTGTGAAGGTTCCTACTGGACCGCATGGACTACGAGTTGTGCCATGGTTGTGGTAGCAGTCCAAGGACACGCCGTAGTCTTGTGGAGTCCCAATCCATGTTGCAAAGGTGCGATCGGTTGGATTAACCACCAGTGTCTGTAACACAGCATTGGGTATTGATGTAACATTTAGACAACTCCTGTGACATCATGTCTTGTATTAGGATTTTTCAATGTACACATTTAAAATGTTAAGCACGATGCTACTTCTATTTCCATATATTTTATACTTTCATTTACATTTTGAAAATGTCTGTAAGTCAATGACCCCATGTGAAACTGATTCAAAAACAGTGGATGCTCTCCCAGATTTGTATATTTGCTGTTTAACGTTGCACTCAGCAATGTTCCAGGTGTATGGCGACGGTGTGTAAGTAGTCGAATCTGGACTCAGGGATATGCAATTAGACCTTCCCTACGATCCTCCAGCGCCATTCTTTATCCCATAAAAAGACGACAGCCCCAATATGACTTAAATGACGTCATATTGATACAGGCCGTGATCGTCGATCTGATAATGACAGATGCCGAAATCATCGACCATCAAGAAAATTCACAGCTCTGTGATTCTCTTTATACAATCAAAGTATCCTTCTCTATTTGATGTTTTATTTAACTTATTTGATGTAATCAAAATCCATCAACAGTATCCATCTTTTCAGATGGTACACCGAGCGCTGGATATAAACCCATAATGTATATTATTATATTATATAAGAGTCTTTAATTGGTCAATCGACCATTTCTTGAGAATATACATAGCCTTATTAGGTGTAGGTTATAGGGCATACATATCTTAGTTAACAAAATGTTCCAACTATTAACTTGGACATCTGTTGCAACGGTTGGTTGGTTGGTTGGTTTGTTGTACAACGCCGCACTCAGCAATATTCCAGCTATATGACGGCGGTCTGTAAATAATCGAGTCTGGACCAGACAATCGAGTGATTGATATCAAGAGTATCGATCCACGCAATTGGGATCGATGACGTGTATCAACCAAGTCACCGAGTCTGACCACCCGATCCCGTCGCCTTTTACGACAAGCATAGTCGCCTTTTACGGCAAGCATGGGTTGCTGAAGACCTATTCTACACCGGAATCTTCACGGGTCTGTTGCAACGGAACTCCTTGACTGAATAATACTATTACAACGTTGACTTGCATGTTTCTTAAGCCATTTAATTGATAGACCCGGTAATATCACTTGGACATCTTCTGGCGCGTCCCCCATCAAGAATTCCACAATAATTATCGGGTATAGCATTCAAGTTATTTAATATATAATTGAATTCAGAAACCAAAGTTAAGTAAATATCCTTTAATGCTGGACAACTCAATAACATATAGCCTGGGCCATCTGTCAGTGCAGCACCGCCATGATATTGCTGGAATATTGCTAAAAGCGGCATAAACCATACTCACTCACTCTCTCACTCACTCAATGGAGCAACTAACACATTAATATTTCTTTCGTTTTGAGGGAATATAAGCCCCGAGTATGATCCCACTATTCATTATCTTAGTTAAATGATGTGCCTTACCCGTCGCACATATGGTGGGGCAATGACAGTATACAGTAGCCATTTGATTTTTGTTTCGAGCATAACCCATTCATTGTAATCGTTGCATGCAAGATTGTATGAAGTGTTTTTATGATGTCTTCTTACCCTGATATCATTTAAATCCCCAAAGGTTTAGGTTACATTAGGCGCTGAGGCATTAGTTTCAGTGAATACAACTTCCTTCCGCTTGTATACATTATCTTGTAAGTATAACTTGCCCTTGATACCAGGTTTATCAAATCCTTCTGTGTCTCCAAGATTGGAAAGCGCAAATGTATTACAATGTCTAAGGTTATGCCTTCCAGGACCTGAAGAATCAACCAGTGTTTATAATATGAAGTGACACACTCAAATATCCTATATGAACAGGTTGATGTTTTACATCTAATACAGAAACTGTGAGCTCTGTTATAATACCCCTTAACTTCTTATACTGCAATGACGACAAAGATTCTGTTCTACCACTATTGTATTTTTCATCTTTGACTGGAACATCTCTTAGCAGAGTTGAACGACTTTCACGTTGAATGTTATCCGTTGTACTAATCTGTTCAAGATTGATGCACAACTCTTGATAGGGAACTATATCGGGTAAATAACTCCATGCACTGTTGTGTTGGGTGCCACTTCTCTTCTTATAATTCCAATTTGCTAAGTCCCTGTCAAGTTTTATAGAACGTGTTCCACTGCTTAAAATCAGCACCCCATTTGACTCATTTCGTGTGAGACTAGCTCCTAAAGGGTTAAAATTTCACCATTGAGTGAACATACAGTGTAATATCCATCAGATATAGTACGACGGTCTTTATCTAGTTATAACTTATTAATACCTCTCGCAGTACTTATATTGGTCCACCATGGGTAATACATTATTTCGCTGAGAGCAACTTCAAGTTGCCCCACCGAGTTATCAGCAGCATGAAACAGTTGAATAGACTGGCCTTTTGTTATTCCCAGGAGTGTAACATACATATTAAATATACAAAGAAACTATATTATAACTTAAATATGTCATCAACCATATGTTACAAACCAGTTGATTTTATAAGAGCCTCTTGTGCTCAGTGTTTTGTTCATTTCCCTGATATCTTTGAAAGATACAAGTTCACAGCAGCTAGCGACAAAATGGTGCATGATTGCTCCACAATCCAATGCAATTTTGGCAAAACTTTGCCATATATAGTGCCACAACAGGATGTGGTATATCTCTTTTTGCCGTCCGCTTTGAACTAAATAAGTCTGTTTTATGATTTCATGTTTACTATCAGATTAGACATATACTTGCAGAAATTAGTGCCACATTACCGCAGGATCAAGCATGGAATGCATCAAACAATCCATACAATAGGTGGGCATATAAACGTATTTACCAGGTATTTTATGCTTCTAAAACTAAAGATTGGCGTATTAAACGACTTAACTATGATCTAGGTATTCCGTACAGTGGCAAAAAACTGTAAAAGAAGAAAGTGATGATCTAGTTAAAGAAATTCATCGACCATTCAATCCATTTAAGATGTTACAGAAAACCAATCTTTTTGTAAGAATGCATAATCTTTATCATGGCTGGGAACTAACAAGTAACGCCTGGAAAGGAGATCTTATAAGCTTTAAGAGTGGTTTAGCTTATATTGTTACAAGGTTCGTGCAACACAACGATACCGCAAATACTTGGAATGAATTTCTTAATGATAAAACAGAAAAGTTATAAGAGTTAATGAATCAATAAGAACTTATGAATGGGCAATCCTTGGTGCACAGTCGCAAACACAAACAGGAATAATTGGTTCTTGGACAGCGCTTGATCCACAAAAACAGTTTGTTGCAAATGAGTGAGTGAGTTGGGTTTAACGCCGCTTTTAACAGTATTCCAGTTATATCGCGGCGTGTCAGCTTAATGTGGGAGGAAAGCCCGAAGTGATGCAGGTCTCAGACGTAAAGAACTTACCAAAAAGAAAGATATGCTTTCATATTTAGCATTCTCTGGGCAACATATGGAGCATAGTGTTTGGGTACTTATTCAAAAATACAACACTGTCCTGAAAGATCTCAGAGAGCAGGCAAGATGGGTTGCCCTGTTTCATTGCAAGGACTGAGATTCATTTGAGGTTGGTTGGTTTGTTGTTTAACGCCGCACTCAGCAATATTCAAGCTATATGACGGCGGTCTGTAAATAATCGAGTCTGGACCAGACAATCCAGTGGTTGATATCATGAGCATCGATCCTCGCAATGTGGGATCGATGACATGCATCAACCACGTCAGCGAGCCTGACCACCCGATCCTGTTAGTCGCCTTTTACGACAAGCATAGTCGCCTTTTACGGCAAGCATGTGTTCTATTCTACCCCGGATCTTCACAGGTCGAGATTCATTTGAGGAATGTCGCGAAAATGATGTTATTTCTACCAAGCTCGAGTGAGACAAAGTCAGAAAACTGCTAGCGGAAACAAAGAAATCTCAACACATTAAAAACTGACCGACCAGCTGCTTATGCAATTGCTTAGCAAAATTTAGCAACTTCTAAGCAAATTTCAGTAACTGCTTAGCAAATTTTGGTCACTGCTAAGCAAATTTTAGAAAATTTAGCAACTGCTTAGCAAAAATTAGCAACTGCTTAGTAAATTTCAGCAAAATGTAGCACAATATAGCAAAATACATCAAATGCGGTAAATTCAACGCTAGAAACCATTTATGTAATAACGTGGTGATTCAGATAGAATAGATACTTTATATTTAGATATATAAATTTATATGCCTTTGAAAGGTGCATCTTATATAGATTTACCCTCCAATTATAAGAAAGAAAACCACCATAATTAATGCAAAAAATAATGATGATAACTGTTTAAGATGGATGTTAAGATCTGCCTTGTTTCCCGCAAACAAACATTCAGATAGACCTTTGAGCTGTCCCCCAAACGATCGACTCAACTTTAAAGGTATCGGTGTGCCTACACCAATCTCACAAATTATTAAGGTGGAAAAGGAAAATGGTTTGGCTATAAATGTTTTCGGGCATTCTAAGGGAATTGTTGTACACAATTTATAAACAATACATAACTTTGCATTAAATGTTATTCAATGTCGCAGGAACTTTTGTTGTTCAGTATATATATACATACTTCGATGTGATATTGAGAGTGGCTGAGATAACTGATCAGTGTTCGAGATTATCGATAATGTATGAACCATTATTATATTGACAGTCACCGTGAGGATTCGAGTGTTAGAATCATATGTCCTCAGCAACACACAGCGACAGTGTCGAAGGAGGCGCCTAAATGGTGGTTAAGATAGGTGAATTTGTTGCCATCATATAGCTGAATTGTTCCAGAGTGCAACGCATGAGAACACAGAAAAGACATTTATCTACTTTGATGCTTAAGTGATCTTTGACATAATGATGGTTTGGTTGTGACGCTGATTTGGACAGTACTTCAGTTATAAGTGTCTGACACAATGAGGACGAACAGGGATTCAAGCTCACAACGAAGGTTTCTTGCACGCCTTAGGGACGCAGCTCTCCTCAGTGACATGAACCAGCCGTGCCCCTAGTATCGATAGACAGGGTTCATGGATCTGATAATGATAGGGACAGTGTCCTCGCATGTATCTAGCTAGCGTGCGTAAAGAGATCTTCTGATGTACCCTTCGTCATAAACATTGTCTAACAATAGCTACACTGATACAAATGTTATGTACATCAAATTAGAACGTTGCACAATAAACTTCTACCGTTAAGTCCAACTTGATTTTGTTGTAAGTCCACGAGCCCCAACCGTCACCGATGACTCTGTACTTCTTAGGCCCAGAACATGGTATCAACTCTTCGTTTGGGTAGTTACCACTATTGGGGATAGGTAGACTGATGAATTCTTCCGGGGTGGTGCTCATGTTGTGGCAGTAGATGCGGACTCTCTCCTGACCCCCAAGTCCCGGAGGGTATAGCCAGTAGTCACCATCCATGGGGGGATTTATTAACTTCTTGATATCCGCACACGATTCAGGCTCTGTATCATCAGAATGAAAAATTAGCCTTGCTTGACAACAGTATGCTGATCCGTACCAAAACGTCGCCATTACAGTAATATAAAGTAGATGCTGTCCATAAATACTTTGCCATCCGTCAACATCTGAGTAATGCCTCTCAAACAATTAAAAAAATGAGTGTTTACATTGGAATATTGTAAGGGACCTTCTCGTGATCTCGACCTTTCGAAACAGTAAATACAAATAAACGTTATAAGATATGTCTTAAATTAAATCATTTTCAATTACAGACATCACTTTCATACTGACTACCAGATAACAGAGAGTCGATTAAGGTATGTAACTTCTGAGAGCTACATTCAGAAGTTGGTGTGATGATTAAAAACAAGTTCTTGTGTCCTCTAAGTATTTGAAAGTAGTAGTAGGTTGTTTAAATAATGTCACACTCGTTAAAGATGAAATATTGGCTTCCATACACATGGAATATTTGCTAATTGCACAAGAAAGTAGGCATAAACAGCATAATCTAAATTAATATCTTACAATATCATTTAGACAGTCTTCTTTAAACTGGTATATACTGAATCTTACTATGAAGAGGCGACTTGCATTGACAATTCTGTAAGTCTCTGGAAAGTATCAATAAGACTGCGTCGGTACAAAATATAAGCTAACAGACAATTTTCAGGCATAACAATGACACCCGAAAACCGACTTTTAATACACTGATGGGTTCCAACACTGTGACACTGGTAAAACGCAAACTGGCAAAGAGTCATGTTCAAACACGAGAGCAGATTCCAGTTTTCAGACCAGATGGAAGCGTTCGAATCTACCGCCGTTGAGGAGAAAATCCATTTGGAGGTCGCGGCATCTGCAGCCAAGTCAAGATGGATTTGGTCGTTTTTTGGAAGGAAACGTAACTGGACAGAGGTACATTTACCAAGTTCTCCGCAATAAAACCCTCAGGCCCTATTTCAGCAATATAACCCAAGGTCACAAACAGACGTTGTGATGCCCTGGTGGGCTCACACGATACTGACTGACAAGGGGGACATTCTGAAGGACTACAGGGAGTTTCAGGTGCTGATTTCAGTCATCACAGTTGATCGATTACTGAACAGCTATCAGGAACAGTGCAACTATACACAAGATGAAATTTAATATGTATCTATTGAGGGTTATTTAATCAATACTTTCTGAAAAACTCATATTGTATTTTGTGAACATTATTTTGAACTGGAAAAAAACTTTGTTACAATTATCAATAGTTGTGATTCCTTTTCGTCCGTGTGGTGAATTGAACACTAGTTTCACACGTGTTGGGTGAACGCATTAACCAAGCTAAGTGCAGCTCCATTAGTGGTTGTTTCAGATGATGAATAAAATATGACAATTGACTATTTTCATCCTTCAACTTTGGTACAAGTGCGTCCAGGACCGTTTGATGAGATGAGTTTTCCCTGATTGTAACCACATTGTACTGTGTTTCTTGTGAATGTTTATATTTTAAGACCTCTGTCACTTTAAGCAGGGCGCGCCATGAACGAAGTCTTTATGTGAATTGCCTCAAATTCACTCCACCTGTGTAGTATAACAGGAGACTTAAAACATAAACAGATCTGCAGTTCCAAAATATTGTACTTACTCTTACAGGCGTAAATCATAAAATGTCCATGTGATGCACAGGCTATATCAGACAGATCCCCTGATTTAACACAACCAGCTTTAATGTTCGGTGCGCCATTCAGAGATAGCAGGGTGGTATTCGAAAACGGTGGCGTACTTTCATCACAACCTGTAACACAAAAATTATAAGTCATTAGCATGTACAAAAGCCATGTTGAACTCAATCCGTAAATAAGATACCCTTGACGCGGCTTAAAAGTGGTATTTGGAAGAAGTTGCAAGTTTAGAATCTGCAGTATCACGGCCGGGACACCAGAAATGGGCTTCACACATTGTACCCATGTCGGGAATCGAACACGGGTCTTCGGCGTGACGAGCAAATGCTTATTAATTTACCCCTTGGCTACCCAACCGCTCCAAGTGACAAAGAAACAAATAGCTAGTTGTCACCATCTGCACATATCTTTACCATTCACAAGTTTATTGCCCATTCAAATATAAACTGGTTAAGGTTTTTTGTCTACCATTTAGATATCACACAAGAGCAAGATAATAGCATAAGGTATAAATTTCACGTTTCGAACAGTTTCAATGATTTTTTGTGAACTTTTCTAAAAAGAATATCACCCTGTGGCCACATTAGTATCAAGAGGACTGTGATATATTATGAGAAGAAACACAACCGCTAAAAAGGTACTTTGTGATAATACCTCCTGGATGAGTAAGTGATTAGTTAATACAAAATGATTTTGTCAAAAACCTTGAAAAGAGGCAAATGTCCACAGTTATATATCAGGCTCTTCAAATGACATTCCCGCAAACAATATGAATGTAATCTATTGTCACGAAGCTGTGCTTTTCAGACCAGGGTGTTATTAAAAAAGAATTTAAAAAATAGCGAAAACCTGGTAAAGGGTTCACATGTTTATCATTATCTGCTAGTTGTAAGCAGAAAGGTTCAAAAACCCAATTTACACTGACAGTGGTCACTGTTTAATTAAATCTGAAATACACAAGCTGATTAGCTAAGCAACAATATAACAATAATAAAATGTAGGTAGCTAAAACAACTCTTTGACAATATATTGACGAGAGGAACAGCCCAATCATCACCGGGAGGTTTTTAACTCAAAACCCTAATGCGGGAATAACCTCGGCTTGGTTAAATAGCGGGAATTAAACCCAGTGGGCCTATCCCTAAAATACGTCTCTTGGACAATGAAATAGACGAACAATGCTAAATAGCAAACTAGTCTTATAGGCTAAAGACTCAATCACTTTGACTGGGCAAGGAAATCCTGAACTTCCCGAAAATACGAGGTACTTGACCTGAGGAGTACCCAGACTCACGATCATTTACAAAAGGCTTGACAAAATGAGTATCTTGACTCCCAATAGTAAATAGGTACTTGACCTAAACTAGACAATCACAGGAAAGTTGTTTATCAACAGATTACAAAAAACGGGTTTCGAAATATAAAAGCCAATACAATAAGCTTAATACAACTGGAGTACCAGTACCAGAGAGAATTTACTAACCACTTATTAACGACACCTAAGTTTCGACCTGACCAAACCGGAAGCAAGACGACCCGTAAACGGCTATACCTGGAGGTAACGACACTTGACTTTAACAAGGGTTGTAAACCCGAGTGCGCGGACCTCGTAGAGAACAACATTTCCTGGTCAGCACTTGGGAAAACAATAGCCTGGTGAGGGGACCAAAGTGAGTTTCTTACCACAGGGAAAGTACAAAACCAAAACAGAACATGTATGCGAAGATAGAGCGCCCAACATAAGCTATCAAACGGTACCAGTAAAGATATACATCCTGATATGTACAATTAGTGTGGTGGCAAGAATGACCATAAATACACGAGAAAGATCTACAAGTGCTAGATAATCCCGCTAAAAAGTTGCAAAAACATTTTCAACACATGAATAAGGTACCTGACATATAAATGATAATCAATACATGGTAAAAGTGTGCCATATTGTTTACGGGTTTTCACACCACTCCAGGGACCAGACAAAACAAAGATTTTGTAGTCTTCGGGGGTTTCCACAACATCCAATTTTGCATTGTTTTACTCACTGAATTAATAATTACCTTAACAACCTCGTAGGAATATCAAGCAAGCTCCATGGAAGGTCAAGGTGGCATCCGTTCCGTCTCATGGAACCGCCCAAATTATCATTATGTGGTAAATAGGTTTATCATTCCGTGACAAGAACGTTTTTCAGAATCAGACAATCAACAATCAGAATTTTATTCAATATTGTAACATTGTACAGCGCAAGGGCTTTCCCTTGTATGCATACCAGGGCACTCGAGCGTCATAAGCAGCAAACTCAACGGCCGACTGTGTTGGAGGTCCAGATATTGGGAACGCTTTAATGTTCGCAGCCGCTGACAACGGAACCATGTGACTTCATCAGTTTACTGAAATAAATTTGTTATTGCGTTCGTGCCAGTGTGGCATTTTCGGCTTTACATTCGCTGTATCACCTGAATTACCATCGCCAGGACATGTTTGGGATGGCTTCTCGTTTAAACATAAGTATTTGTTTCCTTTTGAAGCAGTTCTAAGGAAATAATTCCCCAACAAATGTTCCTGTACTTATCACTTCCACAGAGACCAAATTGCACAATGTTATGATCGCCTGAGGATTTCGGATTTATGTTGTTTTCTAAAAGAATCTCAATGCCTGTTGAATATGGGGTCATGATCACTTCGCTTTGGAAGTTCCCTTTACTGGTCTATTTTGCTTATGTTTCTTAACTGTTCCATTTGTCTGAATTTCAAGGAATGGATCACGAGAGTCAATCTAATCTTTCAGTTCGTCTTCTGGAATCTCCTGAATTTTTCGGTTTTCATTTTTAAGTTAAGGGTATGTTTCAAATACAGTTGAAGAGAGATTTCATGGTAGTGTCTACCACTGCGGTGACTTTTAACTCAGTTTCGACAGTATCATTGATGCATATTTTTAAGGCAGCCATGCAAGTAAATATATTATAGAACATATACCATCCATCTAACAACCTTAAAAACAGTCGACCTTGTAGAATGTCCAGAGAAAATCATTTGATTCGACTGTTGTGTACAGCAATGTGATACGGATGTACTGGAAAGACAAAAGACGTCGGCAATCTTTCAAACCGACGGACTGCCAACGTCTTGAGTATGTTTCCGGCATCTCAAAGACATCGACGCAGCAATGGTCACAACTGGAGGACGAACGATTTGTTGCCGCTCCTTCAGGGGCCAGTATGACTGCGCAAAGTGAGAACAAGACTATACTCTGTGTTATTGAAAGAAACGGTGGGTTGGTCTACAAACAACTGGACCATCAGTATCGACTTGAGTATAGTTGATATTGCTTTCAAACATTTGGCCAAACCAGACATAGACTCCATTAAATCAGACAAACACCACGTCTGCTTAAATTTGAAATTTATACCTTAAATTTAAGTAGCATTCTTAGACACAAATCAGTTTCCAATATGTCCAACCAAAACCAAAATGTCCCACACTATTCCAATTTCAGAACCACCTAATATTTCATTTTCCTATGTACACAATTTCAATGAGGTTGTTCAGTTATAGGAACGTGTTGCAGAACGTGGACGTCCAGGAATCTCATCGGGATTAGGTGGTCAGGCTCGCTGACTTGGTTGATGATGCAAGTCATCGTATCCCAATTGCGTAGATCGATGTTCATGATATTAATCATTGGATTATCTGGCCAAGACTCGATTATTTACAGACCGCCATCATATAGCTGATATATTGTTGAGTGCGGCGTTAACAAGCAAACAAACAATCAAACAAACAAAGGATTTGCTTAATTCTTTTTTACAAGCTCAGAAAGTTCAATTCTTTCAAATAATTTGATTTTTCAACCGTGGACGCTACTATACCACATAGGAAACTTGAGGGAAAACTTCATTGCTTGATCCATTGGGCATTTGTTACAAAACATGGTGACCATAGGTATAGCTGCATATTAATCTCTGAGGTTCAGGTAAATTTGTCAAAAACGAAAGCAGTTCTTATCAGCAGTTAACTGAGAAAACAATATGTAAAATTTTGGACTTCCTCATTGGAGGGGGGGGGGGGAGGGGGGGGTGGAGGCATCCATGTGGGCACAAATTGTGCTCCTTTGATCTGTGACTTTATGGAACAAGTCGGAATTTCTGCTCGGATTGGCAAAGTTTTGCATAAATGTCTTGCAGAACGTGCAGCAGGTGCCCCTTTACCCTAGCCTTTTCCGGAGGATACATGGACCAACAAAGTCGTAAGCTTTTTTTTAAATCAATAAAACCAGTAAAATTGGAGAGTTTGTTCTTTTTTATGTACTAGTTTTGACAATTGATTTTAATCGAGAGAGGTGATCGACGATGGTTCTACCTCTTCTGAACCAGTTTTGCACTTCCATAACGACACTTTGTCATCTGGTGTCTTTTGCTATTTAGGGATTGTTAGAATTTATGTTTCTTCCGTTTCCCTGGCAACAAGTTTGACTTTGACTGTTCATGTTGGTGTGAACCTGACATAGAAATACATCAAGTGGACTTGCAGATAATTTGTTCTTTCGAATTTGTAGGGGCCGAGGGGATTTGTCATCTTCTGATGACTCTTGTCTGTCCTCGCCGATAGACTGATGTTTAAGATAGTACAGTACAGCTTTGGACATCACTGACGTCAAGGTGATATGTTTTATGATAAAAAGTCATGTGGCTCGGTACTGGGTGTATGTAGCCTTGCCTTCCCGCTTACGGAACAACACCGGTTGATAAATATATACTTGAGATAATGTTCCGTAATCATATATTCCCTTAGTCTTCCCATGCTTGACACAACAAAGGGAATAGACCACTTCGCCTCATTAAAGGGACCGTAGAAGTTATAAGTAGTGTGTTCACCCTCTGACCTCCTGTTTCCTGTTTTTTATCGCTCTTGACAGTGAAACAGTTTTGCATATTCTGATTTCCACGTTTCATAGACTTAATCAATAATCAAATAATTCTTTGATCAATAATCATTGTAACCATATGACTAAAAGCGATCCTGAAAACGTTTTAAGAAACGTATTATGTGTGCAGGATGGCTTTTAGTCATAGAGTTGTCATTTTTATCCCCTCGGCAAATAATGTAGGGGGATATA